TAGATACTTAAAATGTTATATTGGTCTTCTATTATAGTAGCTACCATAGTATATTTAGTTATATTTTTGAGTGTTCCCTCTACTATATTGCAGGATTGATACAGCCAGTATCTGCCTCTTTTATCTTTTTTTATCCTGAATATTACCTAGCACCATATCAAGTGCCTAACTACTTTCAAGCTTACTGTTGAAACAATGATTGATTATAAAAATGAATGAATGGACAATAGAGCCTCAATAAATATTACTACCAAGTAATAAAATTCTATGACAAATTCTTCAATAAAATCTGTGTTTATGAGCAAATCAAGTGAAGGATTATAATAACTTTTAACGCCATGTACTGTGTGATTAAGGGAAAAAATAATTTCAAAATGACAGATTTTCTGAGCCAGAATATTGAATAAATTCTTCCAAATTAGTTTTACTATGCTATAGTACTGTGGGGTGACTATAGTTAACAATAAATTATTGTATATTTTCAAATAGCTAGAGGAGAGAATTTTTAATGTCTCTATACTAAGAAATGATAAATGAGGTGATAGATATGCTAATTACCATGATTTGATCATTACACATAGTATACAGATATTGAAATAGCATACTGTACCTCATAAATATGTACAATTATGTGTCAATTAAACATAATAGAAATTAGCAGAGCTGTAAAAAATAAATCAGGGCCTTATCAAAAAAAAGAGGAGAACATGTTAGCACTATTTGACTGTGATATCTGTTGGATCATTATCATATTTCCCTTCATAATCAAAAGAGGAAAAAACATATCAAAATGTTTACCCATGGCATAATGACTAATGCCACAGGCTTATTTAGCTCTACTGCTGGACAAAATATGTTTCTAGCAGAGAAAGAAAAGGAAAATTTCCACAGAGCATCATTCGATTTAGTATTTCACTTAGCTCTTGCACTAAGTAAAAAATGTATTCAAATGCTTAAGAAACAATCACAGGAGCATAATAATATTCTATTCTCTTAGGAATTTATGTTTTAAAATTATGTTTTAAAATTCTTTGTATCAATCTGGTGCCTTTTGGAGGGCTATAATTGCTTTTCAGTTTTGCAATTTCATGCAAAAGGTCATAAGAGTTTATAGTCACATTTTAGCTCTATGTACCATCAGATTGTTTGGCACTCATTGAGGTTATTTATCCAAAAAATAATTAGAAATGTTACTGTGACATTTAGTTATTGATATAATTTTTTAAAAGAAGTATGTCATTTGCATAGTATTTTAATTTTTCAGTTGAATTATGTTAACTCATTTTGCCTTAAAAGGAAGTGATAAATAACTTGAATCTAAATAATTTAGTTTTTTATAACCATCTATGGATCTGTATGTTTTCTCTAATGCCAAGAAAGATAAATTTTCTAATATGTTTATATTATCTTAGGCTAGAATATTTTCTCATTAAGTACATTAAAATAACAGCTAAAGAAGTTAGAAGTGTCAAAGGCAACTTCAGTTGATCTTCAGGATAGGGTTGCCTGAAAGGACTTCTGTGTATAAATAACTCAAGTAACCTAAACACCCAATTTATTGACTAAACTCTTCCTAAATTATGTTCCAGAAAATGTAAAGCAAGTACTCAAATCTTTGGTTTGGCATATCTTTGGCTGTGCATAAAATAAAAAATTTAAGTAAACTTTGCAAAAACAGACATGCAACCTCATCCTTCCCATGTATCTCAGAAACAGCCTGTCTATGAGAATGTCATTGGCCTTACAACTCAGAACAATACTCAGACAGAGAGATCAGTTGGAAGCTCTTCATCATAGCATCTGTTCTGTGTTTATAGCTACATATGCAGAATGCCAAACACCCTCAGTGTATCATAAACGTAGGAATTACACATCCTGAATAGTCATAAACTCATTGGATGATGTGTTCTTTAGAGTTTTCAGCCCCTTGTGTCAGTTGACAAAACTCTTCTAGATTTTTGCCACCATAGAAAATATTAGATTGTTTTTGTAACTTTGGAGACAAACTAGGAAAACTTTAAGTGACACAGAAAGATAACAGTGTAGGCGCTGAGATTATTGTTATATTTTGAAATTACATTCTCATAGATAGTTACAATACAGGTTGTCCCCAAAACCACCATACATAGGGAAAATGGAAAATTGTAGCTAAATGTACCTGTATTTACAAAATATTCATTACAAAATTTTATAAAATTTTTCCTTAAGGTGACTTTTGGGACACCTTGTAGAAGCAATAGCAGAAGAAATGAGAAAAGTGAGTAACAAGTAACTGTTTTCCATAGAAGTCTAAAACATCCGTGAGTCATCTTATATGTGTGGTGCATCTTGGAGAAGCTACAAAGTGTACTAAGAAAGCTGCATGTTATAATTATTAAAGAGAAATATATTCCTTATCATCATATTAATCTGGTAATGCTTGATAAATTACAGCTAATAGTTCAACAAGTTACTGATGAAACCAGCACTTCCTACACAACCAATGCAGTTAATTTAGAGCAAGCTAACTTTTCTCTCAAAAGCAAGATTCCACATGAAATTTATTTCTCAATTCATAATGGTGAAAGGACTATGCTCAAAGTGTAAAGAAAGCAGTTCCAGGTCTGGGAAGGTGATTTCTTACAGCAATGTCTGTCCGCTAGGGAAGTGCTCAGCATCGTTAATGTGACACCAGAGAGCTCCATCTCATGCCAGCAGCAAGTACCGAATACTATTCATTAGTCCCGGGTGTCTTGGACGGGTGCCCACATCTGTCTGTACACAGAAGCATTGGGAAAACTTGAAAAAAAAAAATACACATTCCTGAGTATCAACACGAGCTATCTTGATTACATAGGTTTTCCCTTTTCATTAATGGTTAGAAGAAGAGCTTTGAGAAATGACTCATAACCAAAAATCACATGAAAGTTTCTGAAGAACCATAATAACAGCAGGAAGTTTAGAAACATGGAGCTGATGATGGTAGATCACATGATGGAGCCCTCAGAAAACCATATTTGATACAATAAAGGGAATCTTTTAATCCCTGCAAACATTCCAGTTTAAAGAGTGTCTTCTTTCTTTTTCATTTTTTTCCTCTCAGTCCTTCCCTCTTAATGAAAATTGTTACAATGCCATTTTGCATCTGGACTCTGGCTAATTGTCTATTCCCCCTCACCACCTCATTTCAGGACCTTGCTGTTTTGTTTTCATGCTTGCTGATAACTGCCTGCCAGGAGGCTCATACTGAGGGGAGGTTACCTAGAATACAAAAATAAAGTAAAAAAAAAAAAAAAATGGCAAGGGAAAAAAAATGAGCAACTGTTATGATCAACATAAAGAACTTAAAATTGATACAGCAAAAAGTAGGCATAAGTTATTGGCTTCATTCTAATGTTGAAAAAATGCAGGATGTCTATACTTGAACTAATAATAACTTTATGGATTTCAAAGATATGTTTTTCCACAGACTTCCTCATTGGTCCCTCAAAGTATATGATTTCTGTAAAAGATACACAGGTTGCTGCTTGGCAAATAAAGATACAAAACACAGAAATTTCAGACATATAGATTTTTTGGCATGTGTTAAGATGAGAAAATTCATACCAGTTAAGTCCTTGGCAAAGAACGGTTAAGTGGAATTACATTTAAAAGTGACACAAGTTCATAGTAGCTTAGTTTCCTCATCTACAAAATGGAGGAAAATAACATCCATCCCCCTTACCTTGCTGATGGGTTTAGGTGGATAGAATAGTTATAAAACAATCTGTATGTTATAATTATTTCTATTAAAATTCTTCACTTTTGTGAAGATTGTTTGAAAGAGAAAAATTAATAATGCTAATAGGAAATATTTCTTAGTTTTTGGAAAATTCAATTACCCTTAGAATGCCAAGCACTGGTGCATTTTTAAAATTAAAAATGTTACATGAAATGTGTTTTCATGGATCTCAGAAAGAGATGACCCATGCAAATTCTAACATATGCTTTTTCTCAAAAGATAGGCAGGAAAATGATAGGAAAGGTTTTATTACACGAATTACCCAGAAGAATTACCATAACAGAAATCACCTGGACTTTGACATTCATACCAACTCTCAAGTTTGGGGCTCATCACCCTTATTTGGTCTCTTTTTATTACTATATATATTTTAATATATATAATATATATATTTATATATAGTAATATATATTTTACTATACTATATATATTTTATGTTACTATAAATATATATAGTAATATATATATTTTAATATGTATATTTTGCTACTTTATGATTAAGAAGCTATTCTGATCATGACCTTGCAGTGGAGATGGCCCAATTCATGTGTAGTATTATGGATTATCTTTATTACAATATTCAGTATAGGTCAATAAATAAGAGTGATACGATAAAATAATTGCTTAAGGGACCTTTTTTCAGGACATACTTGGTGCTCAGCTGTAATCAAATTTTGAAATGGGCAATTTCTCCAAATGCTAAGCTTCCTTCCCCTCTACCCAGGTTAATACTAATGTGGTTCCAGAATGATGAAAATAAATCAGAAGCTATCCTCACCATGTCTAAACTAGAAATTAGAACTAGTGCTTGCCTCTCTGACCCAGACACCAGAGGTATGCTGATTCTCTGTAGAGGGAGGGCCCAGGAGAAAGGGAAAAGTTACAGGCAGAACTGAAGCTTCAGCTTTTAGGCAAAAATGAGAACATGTTCAGCTGCTTGTCATTTCATTCTCCTTGTTCTTTCAGAGGAATGAAAACAAAGAGGACCTTCAGTTCTACATTCCTACTGAAACAGAATGTGCGATTGGAAAAAGAGAGAAAAGATTAAGAAAGGGAAGAGAAAACATTGGGAAAATGGAAGAAAACAACTCAGACAAATAGAAGAAAATAGGTAGGGATAGAAAGTGAGAGAAAAAAGGGAAGGAGGGGGAGGGAGAGGGAGAGAGAGAAGAGAGAAGAGAGAAGAGAGAGAATGGAGAGAGAAAATAGAAGAGAGACAAACCCAGGTCAGATAACTCACTTGGCATTCCCTGCCCCTGGCTTCTTTCTTCGGAAAATGTTGAGAAAAGTGTTGGAGCGGCAGGGCAGCTTGCCATCGCCAACATGCATGCGGACTACGTCAGAGGTGGTGAAGGCACTGCGGACATTCCTCTCGGGCTTGGCAATAATGATGTACATCTTGGGGGTGAACATGCACCCCAGGGCCACCGTTACACTGAGGCTCACTGCAAAGCAGGTCGTGATGATCTTGTAGTTGCTCCCAAAGTAAATGGGCACAAAAGCTAGCCAGATGATGCAGGTGGTGTACATGGTGAAGGCGATATATTTGGCCTCATTGAAGTTGGCGGGCACATTGCGGGTCTTGAAGGCATAGTAGGTACAGCTCATGATGAGGAGTCCATTGTAGCCCAGAGGAGCCACCACACCCAGGTTGCTGGTATTGCAGATAAGGTAGACTTCCTTGATACTTGGGTAGGACAGAATGGGCATGGGGGGCTCCATGATGATCAGAGTTATCACCAGGGTTAGCTGCACACTAATCAGAATGGAGGCAATGATCACCTGGGCCCAGGCACTCATGAACCTGGGCTTCCGGGTGCAGATCTTCTTCTTGCTGCCAGCCAGGATGCGTGCGATGCGATTCGTTTTGGTCACTAATGCAGAGTAGCACATGGCAGAGGAGAGACCAACCAGGAGGCGCTGGAGGTAGCAGGATGTGGTAGTAGGTTTGGCGATGAGAGTGAAAGGGCACACATAACCAAGGAAGATGCCAGCTAGGATGATGTAGCAGAGCTCCCGACTGGAGGATTTGACCACTGGAGTGTCCCGGTACAGTACAAAGATGAGAGTGACAAACAAGGTAACAAGGATGCCCAGGCAAGAAAAGGCGATGGCTATGATGGACTCTATGTTGCTCCACTCAAGATAGCGGACGGGAATGGGCTCACAGCCTGTGATGAGAAAAATTGTTTTAACATAAATCCAAGGTTTTTGCTGACCAATAATAACAGTACTTACTAGTTACCAGAGACACAGCTATGTTTGCATCATTCATGATTTATGTTCTTTTATGCTTTCGGAAAATGCTTCACTGTCACACAAATAAAGATACACCATCGTAAATCTTCTCCTCAAATCTAATCTCATCACAAGCCTAATGGGACATTCTTGAACCTATAAAAATGATCCTTTCTTCCAGCACTAACATTATAAATGGATGACACTCTGTGGATGGACCTTAGTTCTACACTTTAAGAAAAGAGAAACAAAACAAAATAAAACAAAACAAAACTGCATTTTCAGTGAATGCTGATAATGTAATAGAATAAGTTAGTTAGAAATAAACTACCAAAATTTTCATTTTTATGCACTCATTATCTATAGGTAAGTCCAGCTCATAGCAAATATATTTTGGTCAGTAGAGTACTTTAAACATAAATTTAATTTGAATTCTTTGGAAGAATGTGCATTCTTCTATTTATCACATAACTCTGTATTACCTTAAATATCATCCCTTTCTTTAGTCATGAATTGTCTGTATCTGGCATCTGAGGGCCTTTGAGTCAGTAGCCTCTAGTAGACATACTAAGGACGAGAAATCTCCCTTCACCTATCTCTTGAAAGAAGAGACCAACATTGTGTTTCTAAATGTCTTGCTTATCTTTTCCTTCTAGATAAAGAATAAAATCTGTTTTGTATCTCAGAGGGAAAGAAAAACTTATCAGGCCCTGGAAACAATCCCTTTACAGGATTTTATGTTTGGTCTGGGCCAGTATTTTCTAAATTGTGAGAATAAAATCATTTTCATAAATTTAAGAAAAAACTCATTGTTCTGTAGCCATGGCAACAAAGAACCATGAGAACCTATCTTAAACATGTTCAGTCAATCAACAACTTGTCTCAATGAACATGTTTTTGCATGTCAACCACAGAGTGTCAACCCTTGCTTCTGAGACAGAGAGACAAAATCACTTCAATAAAGGAGTGTCATCCAATCAACAACAGTCTCACATGAGTAATTACATTTCTACAGACGATGTCAACCAGCTCATGCTCTGAAAATTGGATAATCCTGGAACGCCACACTTTCCAGTCTTTTCTGCTCAGAGAAAATTTATCTGACTAGCATAGCTATCCTTTACTATAATAAGCAATAAATCCAGCTTTTGCATTCCTTTTTAAAATTTTATATATTTAGTCTCATCATCTTTCATATTTCTGAAGATGTCACCAAGATCATTTTGAATACCCTTATTTGGCAACATTCCAGGAGATGTTCTGTCCAACAGGTTCACTCGTGGGCCCCTCATCCCCAAACTCTTCCTTCCCATGTACTGCCATGTAAGAGTCAGTCTCAACAACGTTCTAGCTCTGGAAATTTTACTTAGCTCTTGTTGCTCAATTTATTTGGTTATCCTAAGATTTGTAGGCCTTTATATAAGGCCATTAAACTGGGGTCTTGGTGTAAGAAAATTACACTTACATCGTTATATTGAGTAATTCAACCTTTGGTTTTGATGTGTGCCATTTGGTAATTAGACATAAGCTTAGAATGTCCACAAACATTTTACTTTAGAGATATACAAATCTGATGATTAAATTTTCCATATCTTCTTATTCCCCTCCTGTTTTATCTTTTTTTGCTATTGTTTGCCTATATACACAGAGTCTCACTTAGTGTCTTTTTTGTTTTGTTTTCAGTCATGTTTTCCATTGACTGTACAAAGGACTGGTCCACAGAGATCAGATGGAAGTATAAGGCCTAGGAATCCAATCCAAGCTGGCTCTGGGTGCTAGTGTTTGGAGATCCATTAAACTGAAGACCAATTTATAAAAAGTGATTGATCACTCTTAGCCTCAAGTCCCTTAAAAAGTCTTTACAAGAGTACTTCCTATATCGGCAATTGTGAAAGATCACTTTGTTTAGTGATTGTGTGATGCCTTTCTACATCCTGTTGGGAATCTAAAACATTATTCACAGGCACAGACTCTTAACTGACATTAGTGGCCTCTCTTCTTGTATATCAGAAATTGAGACTATGTCTAAGTCTCAATAGTTTTCTGGAAGAACTCCTGCTTTCTATATAAAGCAAGAGTTTCCCTGATAAAAGTCAGATAAATAATACATAGAAGATAGATAAGACAGACAGACAGATAGATAGATAGCTAGACAGACAGATAGCAAATAGATGATAGATAGATATTTAGAAAAACAACGGCCATATGGAGACATTTGATGTGACAAAATCGATAAATTAAAATGTTTAAAAGGAGCTCTAGACAAATGAGATAAAATACCAAATAGTCAATAGTTAGTTCCTTTCACTGGCATACTGAAAAAACAAATAAAATTCAGAGAGAGTTCTTGTCAAGGCCTTTGTAATCTTCTGGAAGCTACTCTCTTTGCATTTCCTTCTTTCTCTATGCAACTTTATTTGGCTTCCTAAAGGAGCTACTCTATCCTCAGAGTTTTTATTATAAATGAATGTCACATTTAAAAATTTTTAGAATATAAGTTAGATCTATAGAAGTTGTATCTAATAAAACTCTGATCTAGAACCAAATTAAGAGCTACTATTGAAGATTTTTCAAAACTTCAGGGATAAAGGAAAACATATTTGCTATAGAATTCAGGATTTTTACTAGATACTTATTATTGTATATTATACATATACAAATATGTCCCAATTAGTTTCAATTAATTGCTAGCCTCTCATGAAGAAAAGTGTTGAAAAGCAGTAGAGTAGAAAAAATAAGATTTAAATAACTCAGTCATGCAAAATTGAAAAACCAAAAATAAAAAATTCATTACATAAGGTGCTTTCAGGTTTCCTTTTAATAAATATTCAAAGTTGTAAACTAAATAAAGATGAAAGGTAAACTTTGAGAAATGTTCAAATAGTGCTGGGGTAGATTCAACAACTGACTTAAGGAGGACCATATCTTTTCCTCTGTAAATGATCTTAGACATCCTTAATAAGTGGAATCAAATAGAAAAAAATTAAAGTGTAAAATTTCCAATTTATAAAATATCTGATATGTGGCTAGACATTTTCAAATATACTTAAAAAGTAAATAAGCTAGAAATCAATGTAATTGTGGGTCTTTAGGTAAACCAAATAAAATGGTCTCTATTCTGTATGATTTAGGAGCCTATTGAAAAGATAACCTGTAGATACTATAAGCAGAAGTATCACTTAAAAAACATTGGCTAAAACTCGGGCTAAGACATTGGCTAAAAACCTTTCCAATGACTTAACTCCATGGCAGACATTGGCACCCAGGAATTCCCTTGTCCTTTCTCTGAAATCCCAAAGGAAGCAATATCTCTTCCTTATTGGTATGAGTGCCTTTATGTCTACCAATAATTGAATTATTAATAGAAAATCAGGAACCTTGATTTAATAAGACCACTCAAATAGTAAAGACAATCCCATGTTCCAACCTATAGCTGAGATTACTATTGGAAGAATACTTCGTTATTCTCTGTGATGCAAATCCCACAAATTTAATAGGTAGGATCTACTTCGAGACATGTATTATAGTTCCTGAACATGATCAAATTATAGGTGTCCCAAAAAAGAAAATATCTACATTAAATATAATTCAAGAAATTATCTAAGAAATGGCTTTTGTCACAGAATCCCTAAGGACAAAAGACTCCAGAGAAATATGAAGATGGATTTCACACAGCATACCAGTGTTCTTGATGATTGCAACAGATCATCGCAGACACTTAGATTATCATGACTCTTCCTTTTTGTATAAGTGTTAGGTTATTAACTGTAGAATGCCTGATTTCCTTAAGTACTAAGTTTGACAGTTGAGATCTCTGACATTACACTTTGACACTTCTTGGATTTTTTTTGTTTGTTTTGTTTTGTTTTGTTTTATTGCAAAGGTACATCCTCTTTCTTTCAAACTCACATTTTGGCTTGTGATTTTCTTTCAAACTTTTTTTAGAGCAATTTTTGTGAAACCATGGATAAGTAAAAAATTCATGTTATTTTTTAACGTGAGTTCCTTTGTGGAACTAATGTAGTACAGAGAGCTCAAAATATCAACAAAGTGTTTGGAAAGGATGTGGCTAATGAACGCACAGTACATCGATGGTTTGAAAAGTTCCATTCTGGTTATTTTAATCTTGAAAATGAGCCATGTGGGTGACCTGAGACCAAGGTGGATAATGATGAGCTGAAAGCTGTAGTGGAAGCAAATCCATCTCAATCTATGAGCAAATTAACAGTGAGGTTTGACATTACTATTCCAACAATATTGGACCATTTGAAACAACTGGGCAAGGTAAGAAGCTAAATAGACGGGTACCACATGGATTAAGCATCAGAAGAAAAATCGTCTCAAAGCTTGCCTTTCTTTGCTGTCACAACATAAAGGTAAACTATTTCTACACTGTGTTGTTACATGTGATGATGAAAAATGGATTCTTTTTGACAATCACAAGTGTTCAGTACAATGGTTGGATAAAGATGAAGTGCTGAAACACAGTCCAAACTCGAATATTCACCAAAAAAAGCTAATGGTGTCTGGTGGTCCAGGGCTGGTATTAGTCGCTACAGCTTCATGAAACCTGTTCAATCAATTACAACGGATGTCTACTGCAGCCCATTGAATGACATAAGGATAAGGATGCTTGCATATAAGCAGCAGAGATTGGTCAATAGAGACAGGCCAATCCCCTTGCAAGACCACATATCCCCGAAAACAATGCTGCTTGAACTATAGCAGTGGGACTTGGAAACTCTGTCAGCCACTGTATTCACCAGACCTTGCACCAGCTGACTGCCACTTCTTCCGGGCTTTGTGCCACTTATTGCAAGGAAAAATATTCAATTTTCAACTTCCCGTGGAAAACGCCTTTTGTGATTTCATTGCCACTCACTCTCCAGGCTTCTCCAGGCTGCCAGTATAAACAAGCTACCATTAAGGTGTA